TTTATTTATAAATATCTCTCATTGTGATATCAAACCAACAAATATTCTTGTGATATTTGGATTTGAATCTCATTTGATATAAGATATGTAATTTTTTGGATAAAGTAAGCAATAAAGTTGATGCTTTAGTAATACAAATCAAAAATAGAAATTAGAAATTAGAATAATAATAATTATTATAGATTAATTATATAATAATTATATACTAATAAATATATAGAATTGTATAAAATTAAGTTATATTAATCAATAATTCATAAGTTAATAAGCGATATTTAAATCCTTTTAAGAGGGAACGCGATTGTTAATTCCAGAATTAAATTATTATTATTAAGGATATTATTGTTATCCACCTTATTAGAATTAATTATATTATGGAGTATTTTAATACATATTATTTTAGTATAATTATTATGGTTATTATGGTTATTATGGTTATAATGGTTATTATGGTTAAGTTTAATATTATGTACCAAAAAAAGGAGCACTTTAATTCTACAATGGAAATGATGAAAAATTGATATTTTATTTATTAGGCTAAATTAAATAAATATATTAATATACTCTTTGGATTGTGATAGCAAGTATATCTTTAAATTCCTCAAATTTAATATAATTATCATCATTTAAATCAAAAACTTTGAATGCTATTCTTAATTCTTCATTAGTAAATTATTAATTAATTTACTTAGCCATCGTAAAAAATTCTTAGAAATTGATAAATCCATCTCTATTTTGATCAAATCTAATAAAAATATCTTTTAAGTTAAGTCTAGTTTGGTTGATTCCATCTTTAAGTAATAAAATAGTTTATTCAGGAGATCGTTAATTACATATATCTTCAAATGGATTAGAATCTAAATCTTCTAAAGTAATCATAGGATTATTAATTTAATTATCAAAACAAACAATAGGTGTTTAAATATTGACTAAACTTTAAGGAGTGATTTATTTGGGTTATTATGGTTAAATTAAAGGGGATGTAGAATTTTTTAAAGTAGATTAACGATGAAATTTTCTAGTTAATAATGCCTTTTTAATTTTAGTATTATTATCTGTTAACCACTCAGCAAATTCATCAAATGAGATACTTTTATCATCATTTAAATCAAGTTATTTAAATATGATTTTACAATCATTATTAGATATTGTCATATCAATATTTTTTAGTAGTTTCTATAATTCTCTAAATGCTAATTTATCATTTCCATCAACATCAAGTTCTTTAAATAATTTAACAACATCAATATTTTACTTAATAATTTTTTACCTGACTTCATTCATTAAAAATTTAATTTGATTGTTTTTGATTTCTGATTGATAATTTTTAAAATGTTCACTAACTAATTTATGTTTATAAACTGCATCCCAATCAAATCTTTCCTCTAAAATATATAAATCATATATATAAACCTTCTTCAATAGCTAAACATCCTTCAATAAATGATTTCATTTCATTACTAATTTTCTTTTTATCATCTGGAAATTAAAGTAAATTTTGCCATAATTTATTTATATATTCATCTATTTTAGTTTCAAACCAAGGTGTATATCCATAAAGTACTTAATATAATATAATACCAATTGACCATATATCACATTTATTAGTATATTTTTCATTTTTTAAAATTTAAGGGGACATATATTAATATTACGATAATTATTATTATTCTTTTCTAAAAGACTCTAAACATTTAGTTAAGGAACAATCTAATTCATAATTTTAATGTTATACCAGCTAATTTAAATACTCCATCATTAACCATAATATTTGATAATTTTAATCCTCTATGCATTCTTCCATGCTAATTCAATTCAGTAAATCCCTCAAGTAAATCATTTAACATCTTTATAGCCTCTTATTCACTCATACACATCTTTTCTTTGTCCTTCTTTAAATATCTAACATTAACATCAAATATTTAACTGTTATAAATTTTATTGACTATATTCCATTACTATATAGTATGTTCCATCATGTAAAAATACATCTAATAATTCTACTATTTTTTAATTCTTTATTTTCTATAATAATTTTATTTCATCGAATAAAGCCAACTGAATAGCTTCGTCATCTTTTAAAATATTCTTAGGTATTGCTTTTAAAACAACATCTATGTTTTTCTCAGAGTCTTTTGCTTTTTCAACCTAATATATATTTAATTATTTACTCTCCCTAACGACCCATTTCCTAAATAACCTGATGTTGATGTTGTATATTTCCCTATAGACTTTTACATTTTATTTAATTAATATGTAAGAAACTCCATTATAATACTTAATCACAGATCAATACTATCTAGATCATTCATCATAATACTAGACTATACAAATCAAAAATAATCAATACTTAGTCAATCTATAATCAAATGATGTTCCTATGTTTCAAACCAAAATAATTAAAAATCCCACTGCTAGTCTTATTGGCAATTATTGTCTTACAAGTATTATTCTATTCATATACTTTTGATTCATCTATCATAGTGATTCATCAAGTTGATCCAATGTTTCCTCTTATCAGAATTCTCAAACACAATTTTATTCATTTTTAACCTGAATTCATTAAATATGAAGACATTTTCGACCGCCAAAATACTTTTCAAGCATATTTAAGTCAAAACCAATATATTAGAACTAATATCGATAATATAAGCAATGTTAAATTTATAGATGATTGTATTTATATCTCTTATCTATCCAAGAATTATATGTACAATTTAACAAAAATAGATTATTTGAATTTCTAGATCTCAAATATGAGAATTTACTTAAATATATGTTCTAAGATTAAGTATTCCAATCGTAATCCTGTCATTCTAAAGTTATTGAAGGTAACTACTACTTTATATATTTAGATAATGAACTCTAAAATTGTAAACTATTCTATGAATATATTGGTAAAAAATTATTTTTAGAATACTATGAATATAAGCAATCTTAATTATGTGAAAAAGTCTCTACAATGACATTCTCTACATAAATGTGCATTTAATTTACATAAACTTTATCTTTGAGTACTCATTCACTTAAAGAAAAAAATGATACTTAAAATTAGTTAGATTTTACAATGATTTGAATTCCTATTTTTATTATTATTGTTTATAAATCTTCTATAATTCATTATAATACTAAAACTTAATTTATAATCTCTATTTTACATATATTTCTCTTAAAAATATTTTTAACTGTCATAATTATTTAGTTGAAATTCTACATTTATAAAAATGATTTTTAAATTATGCATTATATATTAATTAGCATTGTAAAATTAACGAAAATGATTAGATATATCATTTAAATTATTTCTATATTGATAGTACTTGTTAATAGTATAAACTACATTATAAATAATTCTTATTATTAAATATCTGTTAAATGCAATAATCTATAATAAATAAGGAACACTATTATTAGAATTAAAGAAATTCTGCTCATTAGAACACACCTTAAAAGACAAATATTGCTTATTAAGAGTATATTGCTAATCGATAATCAGCTTCAAAAAGTCTTTCTTTAATGTGTTATAATTGTGTCAATAATGATATCTCTGATTAAAAGAAACAACTAAAATAGAAATTAATTGAATAAGATAAAGCTTATATTTAAGAAATAACTAAATCCATTATAAAATAGCAAGAGGATGAAAGTACTTAGATAATATAAAAAAAATTAAAAGAAAGAGAATTCTTATAAAAAAGTTATCAAGAGAGTCAAAAATATAAAGAAGAAAGAAAGAGTAAAGAAAAATAGGACAATGAAAAATTAGCATAATAAATTAAAAAAACTGATATTTAAGATTAAAATAGAATCCAACAAGAAATTATTTAATCATATTATAAAAAGAAATAATTTATGGAAAGTTTGAATGAATAAATTAAAAATAGAAAACTTAAAACTTAAACTGATAGTCCAAATGAATGGTTTAAAGTAGGAGATGAAGAAAAAACTGAATAAATTATTTAATAAAAAAAAATCATTGAAAAAAATTTATTAAAATAACAAAGAGATGAATCATTAAAAATGAAAGAATCTGTCTTAAATGAATAGGAAAAATAAAGAAAATTATAAGAAAGAAAATAAGTTGATTATTAGCATTAGTTAGATTAATAACTCAAATAAGCAGAATAAGGTAAAAAGAAATTAATGGAATCCTAATATTCTTAGTATTTAAAAAAGACCATTTAAGAACAAAAAGAATAAAAAGTATGCTTATTAAATAATTTAGAGAAATGAGAAAATAATGACAGCAGAAGAATATAGATTAAATTGCGACTTAATCAATAAATAAATAAAAAATAGAGAAGAGATCGAATAAAATTAAGAAATTTAAAAAAAAATGTAGTACATCGATGAATTGAATTAATAATATAAATAGTAACTAGAATGTAAAGCTAAAGATAAATAAAAAAATAGATTTATCGAACAGAAATTATCAGAATCAAATAAAAAATACGAATATTTAAGAAAAGAATTGGAAAAAACTATTAAAAAATCATGTTAGAAATGTAATAAAAGTTATGATGCTAAATGTCTATCGAAAAGTAAAGTATTTTGAGTAAAAGTATTTAAATGTAATAAATTTTGAATATGTTAAATATAATTTTAACTATTAATATTAAAATACTCTTAATTTCTAAAGATTACTAACTACTATTTAAGTCAAAGAAAAAGTTAAATAACCTTTGTGAGATTACTTTGAAAATGAAATAAAGATAATTAATGCCTAAATGTGATGTAAATTTAAGTTTTTATTTTGGATCTGATTGTTAGGATTTCATACACATAATAAAAGTCAATATTATTTGTGATATTCATTCCTCCTTTTCTTCCTTAACTTGATTTGATTCTTAATGATAAGAATTATACATATTTTTTATGCTTTGTTATTAAAATATTTGTGCATTTAAATTCAGAGACTATATTAATTATAAAGACCATACATAAAAGTATTATGGAATTTAATGATAAAATAGATATTATTATTGGGTTTTCAAAGGTAATGCACTAAAACTAAAAGTTTAGTCCATATTTTAAATATTTAAAGATAACTTGTGTTATAAATTTGTTTAAGGAGGAGGATATAAAGAATGTTGTTATCTTTTGAATAATTTTTCTATAGGATACAAATGAGTAGTAAAGACAGGTAATTAATTATTGATTTTATTTATAATAATCTAATTAATTTTAATAAAATACTGCATTAAAATTAGCACTGATTTATTTTCTGTTGAGTTTCTATTGTTTTTAGTTAATTTTAGTTTCTACCTTTTTCTTGTTATCATAATTGTATGATTCACTTTTAAAATAGTATAAAATACTTTAATTTTTGTAACGTTAGAAATATTATTTTAATTTTTCCAATGTCGTCATTATCAATCGATTAAGACATGTTAAAATTTTTATACTTGAAAATGATATTTCTAAATAAATTAGCGAATTCAGAGTTAACAATTAAATTTTAAGTTTCATTTAAGTTTGCACAAAAAATAGAGGAGATAACAGAGGGTTTTAAATTCTTAGTCATTTTAGAACCTAAAGGGAATATATATAAATTTACCATTTTTATTTCTATTTACAGTTTTGGAAAGTCTTCTAAGAACTTTTCTAACGAGGGAATAGAAATAATTTTTGATAAGGCCATCAGTTCTATTAGGGAATTCTTTGGCAATAATTCTCTATAAAAATATATAAGATAAAATACCCATTTATTTCCATATTTAATTTGTAACTCAAAAAGTTTTTCAATTTCATTTTGAGTCCATTAATCTTTATTGATATGAGGATTTAATTAATTTTAGAATCTTTCTTTACAAGACTTGCCAGATCTTTTGAATCCCATTAAATTCATATTTTTTGAAACTCTTTTCCAATCATAATGAAGAAGTTCACAATTCTTTAATAATGCGTGATCTTCCTAATAAAATATAAAATAGAAACATACTTCTTGTTACCAATTCTTTCTTTACATGAGGATAATATATAATAATAATATAATAATTATAAATATATAATAATGTAGGCGTTTCAGCTCATTTTAATAGCAGTCAATTATTCTTTTAATGCTGCTAATTGTAATTATAATTGTAATAACTCTGGACTAGTTCTCATGGATACTTTAGGAGTATAAACTGGAGCAGGCATATTATTTCCATACATCATTTTTTATGCTTAAGAAACCTTGTTAAAGAAAATTCTAATAAGTAAATTACATTTTAAATTCCTGTTTCATTCCAATCATTAATCATTTTTTATCTTTCTATTGAATTTCTTCTACTGGATTCTCTACTGCTACTACTTTTTTTCTTTTTAGATTTTTTTTCTTTTTTTTTATGTTTTTTTGGACTTTTTCTAATAATAAATAAATAAAGAATAAATACTCATTAATTTCTTTTTCTTTTTTTTCTCTATAATCAGGATGTTCTTCATACATTTAATTGAATAAGCTTTTCTTAAATTTAGTTGAGATTTTCTTAAGATGTAAATAATTACATGCTCCACCTCTAAATAATATATATAATTTAATAACCTTTAACATGTGCCATCAATATATTATTTACATTTAGCACTACTAAAATCAAGTACAGGTGAATATTCCATTTATAATGGTCTATTTTCATACGATAAATTTTATAAAGCATTAAAACATCCTTCTGCATAATATTCTGATGTATATTTCACATAAACATTTCCAACTAAATGATCACCAATGTTTTCACATACTATTAGATCTTCAATCTCTCCAAATTCAGCTAACTGTTTTATTATTATGAAGATTTACCATACCTTTAAAAATACATCCTCATAAAAATTTTCGAATTTCTCCAATGCTTCCTCAATACCTGCTTAAGAAACTGCATTTCCTGATGCTATGGCTACTTCTATAGGAGAATTTTGATACATATGCTACAAATCTCATTATTATGCCATTACTTTAAATAAAATTGTTTATGAGATTGGAGGTATGCTATGGATTCTTTAGCATTTATTCTCATAACGACAAGCACCAATTTTTATATAGAATGAGCAATTCACCTAAACCATAACATATTTATCATAACCTTATCTTCTTCAGTTCCATAAACTCTTTCTAATCCTCCTGCCATATTTTATCAAAATATAATATTGCAAAATTTAATCCTATATAAAATTTATTTGAAAAATTTAAAATAATAATCTATGAATGAAGCATTACCTTTAAATTATAAGCAAAATTATTCTAGTCTAACATATGAAAAAGAGAAATTTAATCAATACATCGAAGTATTATTAAAATCTATCTTGCCTTATAATTGTATTAGCATACCTCGATATCAATTTTTAATCTTTTAATAAAATATAGAAATGATGTAATTCTATCTGACTCAATTATCTAAACTCAACTTTCTAACTATTACATTCATTTCATTTTTCCAAGTAATTTTTAATCTATGTAAATAAATCTTAATGTTACAGTTATATGAAATTTTAAGATCCTAAATGAAAGCGAGGGTTTTTTCATGAATTGATAATTCTATAATAGAATATATCATATTTTAATTCCATAATATCTTTTTATTTGTTTCTCATATCATAAAATATTTAATTTTAAAACTTATTAGTTCAGTCATATTTAAAGATATTACATTATTTATAGCGATCATTATCTTTGTATTCTATTATAATTATAATTTTCCCATTTCAAAAATGAAAATATCTTAATGATATATATTTCATATATAAGCAGTACAATATTGATTACCACTTCATTGAAAACAGGAATAATTAAGTAACATCAAAGATTTAATTAAATTATACAAGTAGAAATCTTGATTGTAATATGGTTTAATAATAATATCAACTCTAATTAGTAGTTGCGAATTAATATCTAAATTACCTTTTTAGTCTTAATGAATATAATGATGAATTATTTAATAAGTTACTCAGTATATAACACTATCTAAAATAAAAAGAAAAAGCCTGATTGGACTTTAAATTTAATTGAAATAATTAAAGTGTTTTATTTTTGTAGAATTATTTTACTATTAAGTATTTGTTTCATGCTATCATGATAACAATAAATTACTATCCTATTCATAAAATATCGAAAAAGAAGGTAGTATTTAATATTTTAGATGCCAACTTAAATTAATGAAATTGTTATTAATCATGTAATCATTTTAAAAATAGCTTTGAAACTTTTTTTTTAACAAATCTAAATGTTATGAAAAATCTAAATAAACTTAATAGTATTCAATTTTGAAAGAAATCTATATAATGAATTAAAAAATTAGTTTTGGAAATATAAAGTACAATTCTAATATGATAGTAAATAAAGAGAATGTAATTAAAAAATGTGAGTACTATATAAAAATAATAATAAAAATAAGATTGTAAACAAAAATTAAATGGAAGATCATGAATAATAATATTTTTATGGATTTCTTGGTGATCTGGGACTTTATTCTCGAACACTTTTAAGATTGGGTAATCTTGAACTTGAATAATTTAGAGTAGAATTATTATTAGAGGTATTATTATTATTATTAGAGTTTCTCTTATATTAAGATAGAATATTCAATAAAGTTTATTGTTATGGAATAGTTTTTAGAGAACTTTATTATTAATTTTTGTTAACAGGTGAATTAGATCTTGCAGATTTATTATATGCATAAGCAATAGGTTTAGCTACAACTTTTCTATGTGATGGACTTCCAGGTTATTAAATTTAACTTTATGGCTACTAAATAGGTTATTATCTTTTTGGGAATTCAACTTTATCAATATTTTCTAGAGCAACTCTAACAGGACTTTATTCTTTTTAGACTTATCTATTAAAAGAGTATCCTTAAAAATGATCTTTTTTAACTCTTCTACTAGAATTCCAATTCCAAGGTTCTTCTTCTTCAAAATTTTCAAAATTTTAAGTATCAATTTCATGATTAACTTAAGGTTAATATGGAGTAATTTTTTCTCTAATTTTCTTCCAATCAACTCCTTAAAAAAATGGATGAATCTTAATTTCACTAACTCCATTAATACCTAATCTTTCTGTATTATCAGCAACAAGTCTTCTAATTAAATCAATACATTATGGTGATAAAGTAATATCTTATGGTATTTAAAATGTTTATTGCCAATGTAATATTTTTTAACAAGTAGTTTAAGGATCATCAGAAAAGAATGGTGGATATCCAACAACCATTTCATATAACATTACTCCAACACTCCACCAATCGACTGTTTCAGTATATCCTAATTATGTAAAGACTTCTGGAGCAATATAATCTGGAGTACCAACTGTTGATAATGCTAACTATCTTCTCTTTTACATTTTATTAAGTATAGGAGATGGAGCTGGATTCTAATTTGGCACTTTTCTACCTAATTCAACTTTTGGTTTTATTTCTGAATATCTGTATGTTATATTATCTTATTTACTTGCATAAACCAAAGTCAGATAGTTTTAAATGTCCTTTTCTATCAATTAAAATATTATCTGGTTTAAGATCTCTATGTATATAATTCATTTTATGAATTGAATCAACTGCTAAAACTAATTCTGCAATATAGAATTTAGCTTCATCTTCAGTTAATATATCTTTTTTCATTAATAATGTCATTAAATCTCCACCTGCCATATATTCCATTACTAAATAAAGATATTTATCATCCTCACAATATATTTAATATATCATACTTGAAAACTACATTTTAAATCTACTACCCAAGGATTCTCATAACTTAATATATCTCTCTCTGCTCTTATATGAGCTAATTAATTTTTAGCTAACATTTCACACTTCTTCATCTTTTTGACTGCCACTATTTCTTTTGTCTTTTTTATTCTACAAACTCTCACTTCACCAAATGCTCCTCTACCTATTATTGCTATTGGCTCAAAATCATCAGTGCAAAACTTCTATCTTCTAATTATTACAAATTCAAAATTATTATTTACTTTTTTCTCATCAGTTCTGCTTCCTTTTTTAATACTAATGATTTATAATACTCTTAATCCTAAACTATATTTTATAATCTTATATTTTTACCCTTCAATTACATTTCTTTCATTTTAACCCATAATTTTGCCCAATCCTCTCTTCTCTCCATCTCTGCCTTTAATAAATCTGTATATTTTCTCTCTATATATCTTTTGCATGCTTCCACCTTATCTTTAGTTGAATTTGATATTTGTAATTATTTTCTTGGAAATTGATAATCCATTTATATATTTAATTATAGGCATAACTTATATCAAATTTTTATGAACACTAAAAGAACTCAATAATTATCCACGGTTTTTTTAAAATTTTATATTTATTTAAATATTTTAATACATTCAGATCTATTAAGATAGCAAATTTATCATATATTATTATTAAAATAAGTAATATTTTATTAATTATTCTTGTAATATTAAATTTTACATCTATTTATTAAATTAAATAATATATACATTAACTGATAACATTTAATTTCCATTATTCTCTTCATCTTCTAATTTTACTTTCTTTTAAATACAATCCTCATTATTACTTCCTTAAAACTCATTAAAGTTTTTTGTAGGCATTTTCTCGAAGTCTTTATTGAATTTTTTAAAAGCTGACTTTTTTTCTCCATTGGGTTATTATTATCGAATAAATGAACATTAAGAAAATATTTATTATTAATTCTATTTTTCAATTTGAATATCCATTTATGTTTCTGATGAAGATGAATTCATCATTTCTACTAATTTTGAGTATGATGTATAATATGATTTAATGTCATATTCTAATTTTGTATAAAGTGATTCATCAACAAACTTTTTTTCTAAAACTTTTACACTACTTTAAATGAATAATTAAGTTAAAGATTCTTCAATCTAAAAATAAATATTATACAATATTACTTTTTTACGAATTCTATTATTATTTGACTAAAAAGCAATAATATATTCAGAGTTTCCTTATTTTTATTTTAATTGTTTTTGAAATTCTATGAGATAATTATCTGTAATAATAGTTTTTAGATGATAGATAGTCATACATTTAGAAAATTTTAAAGCCAAAAATAATGGATGTTTAATCTATAAATGATAATAAAAATTAACTGTACTTTATTACGTATATTTGGAGCAGTTAAATAATTGTGTAATCCATTTTCATTATTTTCAATTGGAGCTTGAATTACATCATTAAAGTGTTTTTCTTTCTTACAAAAATTTCTTTCCAAATATTTAGGTTCAAAAGGTTAAATAAATTATATTTATTTGTGTTCATCTCTTGCACTTTTCCTACTATCAACAAAAACAGGAGGAGATTCAAGTGCAGTTATAATATTATTTGTAGATTTTAACAAAAAAATCAGATGAAACTTATGGCCTTAATGGTTATAAGTTGTGCTGTTAAATTTAATACCCTATTAAAAATCGATTAATGAAAATACTGAAAAAAATGCTTTCCCATCCACTAAGTCTTATTAAGTAATTCCTTCTAAACCTACTTCTTCATAGACTCCATCTTGTTTTAGTTTTACAGCCATCAATTAAGCCTAATTTTAAAATTGAAAGCTACTTAACAATCTATCCACTAAGGTGTATCTTCATTTTCAAGTTATAATTTAATTGATAAATTAGGTATATTCCAACTTTTATGCCAATTCCACCCTAAATCATTAGAGAATTATAGTTCTCTTTCAGTATCAATTTTCAAAAGAACAGGACCTTGTTTGGCAGTTACTGTAGGATTAAGATTCATGAGACAAGTCTTAGTTAACACTTGGGAAACCGTTGGAGACCAAGTAAAAGATTTTTTGTGATATGCCATTTAATGCAAATGGAATTTAAAATAATTTTTAAGATATTCATTTTCATTCTTTTTATTTTTACATTAAATTCTCAATTATAATTAAATCATGTTACCATTCTTACGCCTTTAAATATTTTATCAATTAGAATATTCTATAATAATCTTTAAGTTTCTCAATCACAATTATCTTTCTTATTCTGTTCCATCATTCATTTATTTAATCGATGATTGTTACAAATATCTTAAAATCATCTATATAAAAGAAATACTTATCTAACTTCTTCAATTTTGTTTTAATACAAAAATAATGATTTTTAAATATTATTCTTATTATGATTCAAATATTATAGAAGAAATTCTTAAAAAATCTTTTAATCTAATGTTAAATAATTGTTATCGTAATTTCTTGATTCTCATTAAACATTGAATAATTACTAAGAATTGTCTATTTAATTCAAAATACTCTAATATTAAGTTTCAGATATTGTTTGTCATTTATATTTTTATATAGATTATGATAATTTTTATCTTCCAAAAAATAACTTTAACAGTTGTTGCCCACTTTCATTCCAAAATTTGCATCCAATTATTTCATTTAAATATTGCACAAATATTTAAATTATCATATTTGCTTCTTTTACTTATAACAATAAAGCTTAAGGATTTACTACTTAAATCTTACTAAGAAAAAAATCTAATTAATTTAATGATTACATTAATCCTTAAAATGCTATTAATAAATACTATATTAAACATTATAATGATTTTCTATGTTTAGAATCAATTAGAGGATTTTGGATATAATTTTATTTGTTAATATGAGATTCCAATTAATCAAATTTTTCATCATTAATTTCAATAGTTTTCAGTATACCTAGAAATGAAATCATATTTTATTTATTATGTTCCATTTAATTTCTATATAAAAATAAATTAAGATTAGAAATTGATAAAGTAAATATTTTTAGTAATTTCATTAAAATCGATTCAACTTAGTTTTTATTCTATAATAGATTCAATTAAATGAATTTCCCGAATATGAATAAGTTTTATTTGAACAACAAAATTAAAATTATATATATTATAATCTAATTGAATTTAGAAAGCTATATAAAAATTTCTATTTATAATGGGATCTTAATAAATAAATACTCTATCTTGAATCTAATTAGAATATTTAAATTGAATAATATAAATACAAGATTCAAAAGAATTGAAATATAATGAAATAAAATAATTAAGAATGATTTGAAATTTATTAATTAAAAAGGAAGTAATGATAAAGAAATGATTAGAATCATAATAAAAATAGTTTGAATTAAAACACTGATTATGACAGAAAATAATAATAAAGTCATATTCTAAAATATCATAATTTATCTGTAATTTCTATATTGTCAAACACAAATGTATGGACTTTATAAATACAGACAGGTGCTAAAATGAAACTAAATAAAAATCCTAAGCTTTCCATAATTGATAGGAATACTAATCCACCTTAATCTTAATCTCCAAAATAGGCTGCTCTTACAAATCCATTCCAACCTAATGCGTCTATGATACTTACTATTAACCATAAAATGCCAGCTATCAACTTAATTTATTTAAATTGAATACATGTAAAATCTTATACCATTTAAGTAAGGATTAATCTGCACATAAACCTTTGTATCCCCTATAAAATATGTACATTTAAATTCCGTTAAATATGAAGATGTTAAGAAATCCATATAAAATTCTAATTTTAGGATATCCCATTCCTGCTTAAATAAAGCTATCTAACAAATTCAAACAAGTTGTTCCAAATATCAATAGATAAGAAATGTAAATAAGACGTACTAAAGACTTATACGGATCTTGTAATTCACTTAAATCGAAATGAAAGATCTTAATTATAGGAGGCCAGTTAAAGTCAGTCCAATTAATGTCAGGTTGATTGGATTTTTTGCCTATAATTGCTGCCTAATATTTTTACATTTGATAATAATTAGTTTTAATTAATACTTTATTATAATCTAATAGTTGCATAGTACTTTTAATATAATATAATTTTTCTATAAATGAAATAAAAAGTAGTATTTGAATAGCCTAGTCCAAAACTTTTTGATGAGTAATTATATATCCTTCATTAAGTGTACCATTTTGTGAAAATGATAGTAAAAGTTATTGGAGAAAAATAAGAAATGTTTGTCATTCTGTTCGATTATTTTAAATGCCTTTAATCAAATCTATTTCATCACCTGTAATATTAGAATTTACATAAAAGGATGAAGTTACTTTCAATTCAAATTAAACCAAATTTAGATCCTGTACTTTCATAAGTCAATTTAATTAAGAGTAATAAATAGCCAAAAAGAGAGCAGATGATGATTTAAATGATGCTTTAAAAGCTATAAAAAGAGAAAGAGAATTATTTTATTATGTAGAAAAAGGTAGTTCAATTGATCTTATTGAACAAATTCTAATTAATGATCCAAAAAGGTATAAAAATATTAATTATAATTATAAGGTACCTTTATGAACCAAAAAGTCCTTTAAGACTTGTAAATAAACGAAATTCTGCTGGATTCACTCTATTATATATAGCAGCAAAGAATGGATTTGAAGAAATATGTAAAATCTTAATTTAATATGGTGCTGATTAAAATATTTCAGTATAAGTAAAATTGAATTGGAACTTAATCTAGGTTAATTAAATTGATGATTATCCTTTAGCTGTTGCAATTCGATGGAGACATTTTTAAGTTATTGAACTTCTATTCAACAATAATCCAAATCAAAAAGTGAAATAGATTTGTTAATAATCAATTGACAAATCCTTAAAATAAAAATACTCTAAATATTTTTGAAATGTATTCATATTGTTACTCATTTTCAATATGCATGTATTATTTAATTTAATACAATCATACTCTTCTAATTCATATAATAATCATAGTAATATCTTCAAATCCATTTACTTATACTTAGGTTATGATTAATTTATGTTATACTTATACATAAACAATCAATTCCATAAAATGTTTATGAATTTGTTTAGTCTAAAAATAAATGTTAATAATGATGTTAATCATTAAATAAAATGTTTAAATATTGAAAATTTAGAATCATGCTCAAACTTTCAATGTTTGATTTTCTATCATTTTTAATCATTAATTTAATTTATCAAATAAGAAATTATCAATAATCTTCTAAATTACTATATCATTAAAAAATAAGTTGCTAGATTTCTTTAATTTTAGGATTACCTTGTATTTAGATGGATAAAAAATGTGTTGAAAAATCTTACACAGCTATCTCAACTATAATGTTTTTAAAATGTTATAAATTTAGAAATAATGTTTTAAAAAATAGAAAAATGCATTTTCATTAATGAATCATATCTATTTTAAATTTTATTTGATGAATTAACGAAATTGAATTATAACAGAATTTTTTTTGATTTTAAATGGTCTTATAATTCTTGACAAAGAACTTTCATATAATAATTATACAAATGAGATATAATTTTGTGAGAAATAATTATTTATTTGATATAAATCTATTAATAAGTGTCTATATATTTAAGAGACTACTTAAAATTTGATTTTTATATATTTATATATTTAGTCCCATTATATAAATTTGCATTTTCTTTTCTTTTTAATAAAATTGGTGATTTATCAATATTTATTTTAAATAAAATAATAATTTATTTATATGCTTGTTTTCAGGAGTATTTTCAAATATAAATAATAAATATACGAAGCCCCTAAAAGGTTTAGTAAACATGAGCAATAAATTAATGCTCAAAAATAAAAGGCTAGATTAATGTCAGAAAAACTATAATAATAAACTTCTAATATTGAAAGTAATACTCCTAGAATTGTATCAATTTTATTTGGGGTCATGACAATCCCTACATTTTACTATTTTTATAATGCTCTCACTATTAAATTTGAAGACATTTAATATTTTTATAATGTAAGATTATGTGTTGATTGGTTAAATTTAAAATATGGATTATTATGTGGTTCCTTAATTGGTTTGAGTTTAATGAAATTTGATGATTTTAAAGCTAAAAATAAATTAAGATCTAAAGTACCAATAAATTATACATATTACTCTCTTCCAATACTTTTGGGTTTGTGTTCATATTCATGCATTGAAACTCTCTCATAATGGTGGATAGTACCTACTATGTTGAATATCATTTCAACCATGATAGCTTATTCACACGCAACAAATATGGGTAGTGCTCCTTTTTGGACTTTTGCTATTGTTTATTAAATACTAGTATTAGATTTAATAACAACAGCAAGTATATTTTGGTCATAAAGAAATTTAAATTTACATAGAGAAAAAAGAAAAGAGTTGTATTCTAAATATTGATATAAACAAATATAAATATAATAATTAATATGAATCATTCATTTACAATTTACCTTCACATAACTTTTTGAATGCTCGAATCAAAAAAAATGGTTTAGCCACACATATTTATGATTAATACTGAATAACATAAGAAAGAATATTAGATAATTTGAATCATCATATATATGATAATCTATATTCTACAAAATGTATGAAGCACTAGTTGAAAATAAATTATTTTTAAAGTTAAATAAACAAAAGAGAAGATTTTTTTTGAAACAAAATAAGTAAGTTTATAAGATTAATCAATCCTTTATTTAATTAAAATATAATTAAGTAGATGTAAAATTACTTTATTCTCTTATTCTTCAAGAAATTTATTGTGGAAAGAGATCCATTAAAAAATTAAAATATATTGAATGAATAAGAGATTGATAAAATTAAAAAAAATACATGAATTGATTGTAAAATAAAACTAAAGAACTTATTAAATAATTTAAATTAAACAGAAATGAATGTGTTTTAGAGTATTCAAATTTTACATAAGAAAAATATAATACTATTTCATAAAACAAGATAGAGGGTCTAATTTAAACAATTATGTAAAAATATAAGAAAGACATTTGGATTTTCATATAATAAAATAAGTCAATAGTTGTTTATTCTAAATAGAAAAGTTGAAATTGCATATATTATAAATTATTAGGAAAAAATTATATTTAGAATACGTAAAATAATTGTTATGTTGATTTTTAAGTTGTTTGTAAAATAAATTTATTTAAATTCTAAAATAAATAAATATAGCAATAATATAAAATCAAACAATATGAAATTTCTCCATAGCTATTTCTTCTTCAGATTTAAATTATAGTTTGGACACGTCAAATTTCACTAAGAAATTATGAAAAATATTTTACATTTTAACATAATTTCTTTGCAAAATGTAATTTTAATAAAGAATTTTATTTCAAAGAGTCTTTAGATTTATGTAGCTAATGAAAAATCATTAGAAGTTAGATGAGATTTCATTTTATAAATAAAATGCTTTACACTTTAAGTATCATCATTTTCTAAAGTAAGTTATTCTAAATCAAACATTAGATGTTATTTATATAAGAGGCAATTAAAAAAGTTTATTAAATAGTTAATATAATTTGGTATATTTAACTTAATACAATTGGTGGCTTTGAAAATCATAATATTAAGCATCTCTAAAAATATATTAGTATAATACTATTAATAGGTAATGTTTTTTAGATTTCAATTAATAGATGTTTAACATCGTATTGATTTAAGTCAAGGATAGATAATCCACAAATTAATTCACTATAAGTTCTTCCTTCATCAAATATTCTATCAATATTATAATTATTTTACACTTCTTGGAGAATAGTAGAATAATATTATATTATTAATTCTTGAAATTAGCCTTGTCTAAAATTGCTAAAAAGTAGACAGAGTAATGCTAATTATTGACTCTTATACAATTATTTAGTATGTTAAATTATAAATTAGAATGCTAAATTATAATCAGCAATATCCTACAGCAAAAATAGATAATATAGTTGAGTTATTTGATTAAATAAGTCTGGTTCTTCTTTTAGAAGTTCTATAAAGAGTTCTTAGATTTATTTAATAATTTCTTCTATTTAATTACATTTAATAACTACACTAGAAGTGTATTTTCTCAATAGTAAACTTAAAACAGACAAACTTTTTGTTAAGTGAGAATTTAGTTTTAAACATTCCATAATCATTTTAATAATCCCAATAGACACTATGTTTAGGAGATCAAATGACCAAATTTCAATCATAAAATCAAAAACATTTAATATCATTCCTAAAATAAAATTCATATTTACTTTATCTATATTTATATTTATGTTATTCTTATAATCCTATTTACCATTCATTTTCTATCAATTAGATAATAGAATAATCACCTTAGTTTAGTGATAATAATTCACAAAGAGTCATTAAAATTGTTTCTTTATATATTAATTTCTATTAAACTTTATAAATATCTTTAAGATCTTAGAAAGTTTAATGTGTAATTAAATTTTTGTTAGGTTATAAATTATGTAAATAAATAAGATTATTTACAATTTTGCAAATATAATTAGGATATTTAATTAAATTTGGATTAAGTTATTATTATATAGTTGTAATTAAGATATTCAGTTATTTTTCTTTGATTGCATTTTTCAATAATAATTTTCTCAATAATACAAGTACTTGCATTTTTAAAGGAATATAGATCTAATCTTATGCTTATAGAATTGTAATAATTTCATTTACAAATTTTTCATCAATCATATGAATAGGAATTAAAGAAATATTTTCTGTAATTACATAATAATGAGCTTCTAATTTAATACAATTGAATTCTTCATGTTAAATATCATTTGTAATTAAATCTTTTAAACGAAATAATTATTTAATCATAATTTATTCTGAACAATAACTAGTCATATGATGAATAAATTGAGCACCAAACCTTCTTATTTTAATTAAAAGATAATCTTATTCACTATCATCTCCTAAAGTACTAAATTAATTTTCATATTAATCATATTCAAGCATAATTAAATTGATCATAGAAAAAAAGATAATTGATTCTTATTTCCATTCTTCAATTTATCTATCTTATAATAATTATTTAAAAACTTTTAATATTTTATATGCTAAATATTTATCAGTTATTCTTTGATTTTCATTTTACATATAAGTTGACATCAAAACATCAAAAAGCATTGTTTAAATTTCTTAAGGAGGTAAACCATTTCTATTTAATCTATGAATTATTCTAGCGAATTTTCTCAATAGATTATATTCAAGACAATGATAAGTTAAAATTTCACAAAATTAATGATTTATAGTACTCTATATATTTTCATCAAATTTATAAATTGATTTAATAAGTGAAATGTAAAGATCAGATAGAAGATTCAATTTTTGAATATCAATTAAATTGTAATAGAGTACCATTTTTTAAGTAATTGTATAATATTCTTTAAGTTTAACTTTTACTTTGATAATAGGATTGTGCATCATTTCTGTTATTATTTTAATATGATAACTATCATAAATGGTTTGATTTATTATGAATTAGATAATTTCTAATGAGGGTAACTATTTTTCTATAATAAAAATGAGTAAATCACAATAAAATGGAATTAATGTAAAGTCAAATTTATTCATAAATTCTAAGATATTATTTTAGATTTCTTTCTGAATATAATTAGGAGTGAATTCATAATTCTTCATAATAAAATTCTTTAGAAAAATGAAATATTATAATCTCAGATTCTGATTTTGAAAAGGTAGAAGTAATTATTAAAAACCTTATTTAATATTGCCTACATCTTTGAAGATTTTATGAAGTTCAATTTCAGATTAATTACGAATTGTTTGATTTTCGTTGTATAATTATTGAATAAGGATAAGTATTTATTCCATTTAATAAATTAATGGAGTAAAATACAAAATGTAATTAAGAATATGTAATTAGATTAGTTAATTTTAGTTTAAGAAATTGAAATTGATATAAAAGAAAATGGAAGATATAAAAGCTGATTAAAGTCCTAGTGTAATAAAATATATGATAAGAAGGAAAAGTATTGAAGATATTCAAGCACCTTTACATGATGTCGAATATAATAATTAACCAAAATAGAAATAGTTGTTATACTTTAAAACATTCTAAAAAGTTACAATAGATCCACATATAAAATTGGATGAAATAAATGAAGAGAAATGGGCAATAATGAAAAATAATTATAAATCACTAATAGAGAAATCTCGTTAAAGCTTAATAAAATAAAATGAAGGTGGTTAGAGTATAATCAATAATAAGGAACCACGTAAAATGTAGTTCCTTACTAGAAGATAATCTATAGAATTTAGATTACGTGAAATAGTTACTGTTCCTAGTAATCATACATCTCTTTCACCTTTAAAATTAACTACTTAATCTAATTTATAACCCAATATATATCCAACTTATAATCGATTTTAAAAATATTATTAAAAGATAGGTATTCCTTCAGATAGTCCAGTCAAATTAAAACTTTAAAAAATTATATCTACTCCTATTCCATCACAAAAAAAGAAAGATAAAAGTTCACATTCAAATAATTCATAAAATCATTCTCAATCTCCTCCTAAATCTAAGATTTTGCATATTAAAGCTAATAATCATTCATAATATCTTAAAGAAATCAGAGATATTTGTTCTATTGCATCTAATTATCATGCTTAAGTTAAATAAGATGAAAAAAATCAAATTCAACATACCAGTCAATAACTTGGTTACATTTAAGCAGAATTTAATAAATTTCACAATATGTTGACATCTGATTTAGAAACAGTTGATTTTATTATTGATTAAAAATGATTATTATTAATAATGAATTAATTACTATATTAATTTTAAACTATTGGATTTGCATGCGATAAAGAATATCATACAGGCATGAAAGATGTTAAAAAAAAATTTTAAGAAATTAATCAATTTAAATAAAGAGCATTAAAAGATTTTAATAATGTTGATAATGTAATCAATTCCATTAGTGAAATTATTTAATAAAAAAAAATAGAACCTTTAAATAAATCAAATGATTTTACTACTTATCAAAATAATAAATAATTGAGATTATAATCATGTCTCCATAAAATGGGTTAAATTGATTATAATTAATAATAATTAGATAGAGAATCAGGACTTAAAGCTTCTAGTATATTTTCTGATAGAATAACTTCTATTATTCCATAAACTAAAATTTCAAATAAAGAATTAAACAAAGAATTAGCTATTAATTGTCATTTACATGATTCAATAAAATTTGGATAAATTATGGAATAAACCTTACTTTTACATTCCTTTCATAAAGATTGTAGTGAAAAACTTAATTCAAATTTAAGTTTGTTAGATCCTAATAATTTTAAAACTAAAAGAGATAGAATTAAATTCTAAAAACGAAATGAACTGAATTCTAAAAGCATTTAAGCTTAAGAATATTATATGAATAAATTTTAATTAGAACATATGAAATTAAAAGATAAATTAATTGATTCTAATCAAAAAACTCTTATTAAACATAAATATTTTCAAGATCAAAATTAATTATCTAAAAGTATTCAGAACAAAAAAAGAATATAATAAGTTACAGAAAAAATTAATAAAAATAAAATACTTGTCATATAAAATTTATTTAAATAGGGACATAATTAAAAATCTTAAAAAGCAGAGGAAGTTCTTAAATATTTGGAATTATATTCTAAAATTGATATAGAAAATAACTAAATTTTTGGTTAAATAATTGAAATCAATAATTCTTTTTCTATGAAAATTGAAACATTTTTGAGAAGGATCTTCTTTAAATTTTCTAATAAGTAATGTGATGATCTTAATGAACTACATAAATATATTGATTTGAAAGGTTATCTTGATTGTTTTCATCTATCACATATTGATATTGAAGATAAAAAATTAATTCATGTTTATTAGAATAATGTTAAAATTTAAAATAAAGATTAAGATAGAGGATTGAATTTTAATTTTTTTAGAGATTCTCTAATTGACATTGCAAATTGCATTTTTTTATCACCAACAAAAGAAGAAAAGTTGCTTAGGTATCTTTTATTATTAAATTAGATTAGTAGAAGAAAATTTGTTAGAAATATATAATGAAGTTCTTGATTTAAATGAAATTAGACTTCTTACTATTAAATCATACTAAGAGTTTAACAATTTATTTTATCCTATAATTTAAAAATTGTTTTTAATTTATGGTAAATAGATTTAAAATTAAAATCAAAATAATGAAAGACTCAATTTGGATAAGATTATTTAAGTGTTTCTATAAATTAAAGTATTTCCTTAGAAGTTTAACAAATAATTTATTAGAAATTATTATTGTTATGCTGCTGAATAAGATGAAGGATTAAATTTGAATTAATTTTAACATTTCTTGAACTTAATGGCTTTGAGCTAAAACAAAAGAATTTCTATAAATAGAGAAGTTAATAATATAATTCATTATAATTAATATAAATTATAACAAAAGTTTGATGATATAACTGAATATGAGTAAAAGTTATTTAGGAAAATAATGATATTTTATTTTCATAATGAATACTTAGATTTATTAAATGTTGAATAAGATTGATTTTATATATAAATATTCTCTTAAATTAAAAAAAGATATAGTTATAAAATAATAATGGAAAAATCTTAAAAAATAAATGATATTATATAAAATAGAGATATCTAAAATATAGAATAATAAGATAAGATTCTATAATAAGTTCTTAATTAATAAGTGAATATATTTAGAATTGAAAAACAGTTTTAAAATTAATCAATAAAAATATTTAATACCAATTATGGCTACCCTCAATGTGCATATCAATTTGAATTAATATCAGCTGATTTTACAACAAGAGAAAGCCAAAAATACTTACTAACTACAAAAAAAAGAATTTCCCCATGGCCCCATTAATCTTTATGAATAAAGGTTCAACTCAGTTAATTTTTCAAATACCAAAATAAATGAGGTGATTGGATGGATTCTCATTATAGCTGTAATCCTATTAGTGCTTATGATGACTATATCTCTAATTTAAGATTCAGTGGTTGGATTTGCTATACCATTATTATCAGTTGTTACATTCTTCATAGTATATTTAAATTGGTTATCTATGAAGTTTTTTGTAAACTCATGAATTTGAATATTTTATTTTGTATTGATTCAAAAAGCTAACTGTTTATAATATATAATATCAGTGAATTAATATATATTTAATATTAGTGTTTCAATTCTAATCTTGGAATTCCCACATTCCTATCTCATTATTTAAAGGTATATTTATAAATCTTCTTCATTAAAATTCTGTTAATCCTAACTCTCAAAAAATAATTTAAAAGAATACATAATTTAGAGTAGAATCTTAAAATCAGAATAAAGTAGAGATATTTAACACAAAATATAATATCATGTATTCTATAAATTAATATAGGTGTTTAAATTTCCGACGATCATTTGGATATTTTAATAATAAAATAAAATTTAACAAAGATGATGGGAGGTTGGGCAGTAGTAGAAGTCGAAGCAAGACATCATAATGTCTTAGCAGTCGTACATCATGGTATTAATCAGCATTTGGGATCTAATCATCAAACCTTTACAATCATTGAAGTACGTCACTAAGTTGTTGCTGGAACAAACTATTAATTCATAGTAGAAACAGAAGATCACAAGAGAATTTAAGTGAAAGTATTTGAACCATTACCACATACAAATCAACCAGCTCACGTAACAGCAGCTGTATATTTGTGATTCCATAAATATATTATATACATTCATTTATATTCAATTTCATGTATTGGGTGCCTGAAAGATTACTTACTAAATTCCTCATATTAGGCTAGAGTCTTTTGAGGCGATAATGAATCGATAAAATATTAAGATAATCTTAAATGAGCGATGGTGATTTATAAAATTTTATTAAGATTGTTTAATTTGGTAAACATCTTCAATTCAAAGGGCATCTTATAGACTAGATCAGTTGTACATAGATGTTATGAGCCTTTAATCATAATTACTAATTTTTTTGATTAAGCATTAAAAACAATACTGTATCTTTGTGGAGTTTCATTTTCTTTTCTTAATCTAAATGTTTCACTATTGACACTTAATAAAGGTACTGATAGTTTAATGTTTAAAGTGTCTTCTTTGAATGGTAGAAACCATGGATCAAATAATATAATACCTGCAGTAATTCTTTAATCTATTTATGCCATACGATGTACTGTTGCAGCACCAAAAGAATGACCTGCTCCAATTATTTTATTAAAATCAACATTCTTTTATTAGTATACATAATCCAATAACTATTGAAATTTATTGACTCTATCATTCAATTATTAATGTCTAATCATCTTTACTTTATTTAAGATTTATTATCCTAATGCATTTTCTAATGTAGCTTCTCCTATTTTATATTAATGAATCTCTTATTCATTTAAAATTATTGTTACTTCTTCTTATTATATTGAATATACAACATAACCATTGCTTGCCCATTCTTTATAAAATATAGAATAATGATCTTTTAAACCTCCTAGACCATTTGAAAATACAATAGTTGGTAATTTACCTTCAATCATTGGAGAATCAACTTCTATATCCTCTACTTTTACTTTATTAAGAAAACCCAACATCCAATAAATAAACATTATTGGAGGTCTTCGATGCATTACATGTTAAAAGTCATTATATACTTGTTTTATATAATCTCTATTTCTACAAGAATTTATTTATCTAATTTTAGATTTCTAAAGAGTTGGATAATATATTGAAACCAAATCTCCATTATTTAATTTTACTTCCTTAAATCCAACCAAATACTTTCCTGTTACTTTTGGATATTTATATTATGGCATTAACATTACTAAACCAACATATCCAATCTAAAACACCAGACATAAAAAAACTAATATGTATGATGAGTGACAACAATATTTTGATATTATCAATGTAATGTATCCAGGTATCAATAGATATATTGTGAGTCTCATTTTCTGACATTTTATCATAAAAAGAATTATGAATGCTGTTGAAAAGATCATCTATGATTTCTCTGTCAAATCTATCTCCACATTATAAATCAATATTAGTAATAAATCGTTCATAAAACTACCTAACATCAGAATTGATAATGTCAATTCCAATAGAGGTACTTCTTATTGTTGGAATTCATATGGATATTTCATAATTCTTTGTTCTTAAAATATATAATTATCATTTATATTCATCCATATTTTATACTCTTAATCTATCATCTTCTTCTTCATTAATACATACTTTCATTTACCATTAATTAATCAATTCAATTCTTAAATAAATTAAGAATATACTTAGAGTAGAAATTATACTCATATTAATCATCTTCAAAATCATTATTTACTACTTAATAAATCATGAAAATATATTCAATTTTTGATAATAATGGCACTCATAATCATTAATAAAATTAGATTTTGTATTAAACAATTTAATAACATATTTCAATTAGTTAAAATAATCTAATTTTGGCTATATATTTTGTATCTAATCATTTATATACTTCCTCTATCTATTCCAATAGATTATAAATTTTAGAATAAAAATGATCCTAATAATGATCCTATTATTAAATCCTTAATCATATGTTTTATTTGCATATTGATAAAAATAGATCAAATTAAAACAATTAAGTAAATGAATGAAAAGAATAAGTATTAGAAAGAAACACAAATGCATGTATACTTTTTATGATAATATACAAAATAATATTTATTATTTAAAACTTAACATAAGATTTTAAATAAAGATTATATAAATATTTGATTTTATAATATTTAATTGAAAAGATAGAATAGAGAATGATGAATTCGTTTTTTTATGAAAATATTAATTATTTTAATGAAATTATTGCTAATTCCTGCATCGATATATTTTTTGGTCACAGGATGGTACTTATTTATTGAATCTAAATTGCCATATTATCCTTTTTAACATCTGCTTGAATTTACTCCAAATGTATAATATATAAATAAAAACAATAGCATGCTATTTAAGCATTATTCACAGTTGCATTAGGATTATGTATAATAATAGATATAAAAAAACTTCTAATGGTTTTCTTATTAATAGGTGTAGCAGATCTCTCATTAATAATTCGATATTGTTTAAAATTAGAAATGCAAGATCTTAGTGAAGCATTATAGCAGTATTAATATATAAGATATTGAAAAGTGTTGGATATAAAACAATATTGTTAGGAATAATTATTGAATCTATGAGAGATTAAATAATTTATGAATAAGTAGAGAAAAAGAAGAAAAAGAAAAAGAAAGTAAAGAAAATGGTAGAAGTTGAAGTAGAAGAAGAAGTAGATGAAGATGAAGAAGTAGAAACTTAAAAACTTAGTGATAAATAATAACCAGAAGAGCCTACTTAAGCTGTAACAAAATAAAAAGGAAAGAAATCTAAGAAATGATTTATATTATAGTGCAAAAAATGTGTGGATAGATTTTCATTTTTTCACTTATCTTTATTGAGATTAACAATTATTGGATACTGTAAATTCCCTTTTCATTTAATTTATTTATGGAATATCTTCATCACTACTTTCATTTTCATGTTACTTTTTTTTAAATATTTAAAAAACATCTTTAGTAATTTGAATTAACTTATCTTTATAATTAATACAATTTGCTGTTGAATCAACTGATGTAATTCCTACTACATTAACACTAGATCTTCTTAATTAAGATGTAGGTCTTAATTGTTAATCTTAAATTGAAAATTCAATTAAATCTTTTCTTTCAGATACAGATTCCTATAATTTTTTATTTGTTAAGCTTTAATTAAAAATATCTATACAATCCTTATATTATAAATAAAATTATTTATATTTGATATGCTATTTATTAATACTCTACCATTTCTCTTCATAATTTTAGTTTGCTCTTATTAAAGTGGCATTTATAGATAATGTTTCATTATACATTCTTTATAAATCTTCATATTAAATTTTCAATTAATCAAATAGTATTTTTGATGCATCATAATTATTTTTTAAATATTTATATTCTGATATCCATTTTTTTAATTCTTCTTAACTATTTAAATCTTAATTTTTTTATTATTTCATAGATATTTATTATAATGTAAATGTTTAGATCTGTTAAGCTCTTTTCAGATCTAATTTTGGCATATTTTGCTAAGTAAAATTAATCTCTCAATATTGATATATTTATACATTTATTTTAATAATATTGAATTTTATCTTCTATTGGAGATGTACAATCCTTATCAGAATCATCATAATCTATTTAAATCATTTTCTTTTAAACTTCTATTAATTAAGATATGTATTTTTCTATGTTCTTTACTCCTCCTTGTTTAGGTTACAACTTTAACCTACATATTTCATTTGATAAAGTCTAAAATTAAAAGAATTCTTTACAAAATTTAACTAAATTAAATCATTCTTTGACTCTTATAATTTACTCATTTTCATATGAGCTAAAGCTAATTAAACTTTATAAGTCTCAATCTCTTACTATAATCTTAATGTTGCTTCATTCATATTTACTATCTAACCAATGTATTTTATTTATACTTATTTATACTTGATTAAATAACCTTAATTTTGAGGATCATTTTCATAAACTTGTAAGTTTTAACTTGATTATTCATAATATTTCATTTGTTCTTGTAATTATTTTATTCTTTGCTCTGATTCTTTTAAAATAAAATTGTTTTCTTATTAAGTGACTTAAAGAATTTATTCCAGAATAAGAACCTAAATTACATTTCATATTACCTTTGATACAGCTTTATTCCTTTCATTCAATAATTTTGTTATTTATTATTTTAAAAGTTCCTACTCTGATCTTGTTACACTCAATAACATTTTCATATCAGTTCGACCATTTACTAAACTTTAATACTACATATTTATGCTTATTTATTCCTACAACCTTTAGTTTATATTTTAAATCTCTAAATTTAAGTAATCTATTTTCAATTTAGAAGAATCACATTGATCCATTTTATGATATTTTATTTAATAACATATTCACCCAGATACAAATTTTATTTACTAAATCATATTATAAACATTTTTAACTATTTAAAAATAGATACAATCATAAGAATTAACAATCTAATTTATATTTAACAAATATTTTATTCATATTCTAAATCAATTTTGCTGGAATCTCTACAACTACATACAAATCAAATCAAAAATAAATTATTAATTAAATTAGCTAACAAATTATTCAATATACTTAAATAAATTCTTATTTTTTGATAACACATCTTAAATTATCTATCTCTTTTATTTACAAATTATAGAAATATGAAAAATTATTTTTTACTTTATATTCTAAATAATTTCATAATTAATTATTTTATCAAAATAGGTAAGATTCTAATAATCAAAATTTTTTGGTTAATCTTAAAAATGTATCAAAATTTATTATATTTCAATCGTTTTCATAAGCCATTTAATGGTTCAACATTCAATAAGAAAATATTAATTTAATTTTCTAATAT